AGGTCTGCCGCGCCATGTGGGTCACCTCTGGGGCAGGCGGGGATCGAACTCATGCGGAAGTGGCTTTAGCTTCTTAGTGCTGTGCTTTAACCCACTGCTCCACTAGGGAGGGCCCCTATTTTTCCTTTTAACAGATTATGATTTATTAGCCCCTTAAGGAGTTTGCAGTCTAGTTGCTAACCAAGGCCTTCATGAAAAATTAAACACCTACAAGTCAAAATATGATATTTTAAAGACAAGAATTTGAAGGAGAGAGTGCATTGTGCATTAGAGTAGGCAAGGAAGACTGTGGCTTTGGACCATGTTCTAAAAATAGTTACAACGTGGAAAATATGGAAGGAAGGTATCTAGGAAGAGAGAATGAAAAGAACCAAGCACCTGAGACAAAAATGAGCAAGAAATTCAGGGTCAGTGAGTAGCCAGCTTGACCATGAATGATTTTATCATATCTCTAAAGTATTTACAATACCTCTGTTCCTTCATGTTAACTTATTATCTGACTAAACTGAAGAGTCATTCACACATAATTTTATTCTTGCAGATTTGAAACCACAATGACATCTTGGGGTCTTGTTGTTTCATCCATTAATGATATTGCTGAAAATGTTCATCACAGGACATACTGGCAGTTTCTGAATGGCAAAACACCTCTGAATGAAGGTAGGAGAAGAAAGCAGAGTCTCTCCTCCATAGACTGCAACCACATTCCTTCATTCCCTTAGACAATTCACTCTTCCACTGAGTTTATATATGTGCAATAGTTGTTAATACAGTGATAACATGTATGTGCACAGAATGTAACTGGATGAGCCTGTGGGAGGCGGGACGTTGACAGGCACCACATGATTCTCTGTTTGCTTCCAGGAGTTGCTGACTATGTCCCCTTCAACCATGAGCATATCACAGCCAACTTCACCCAGTACTAAGGAGGAGGTGGGTGTGACCTCTAGTAAATAACTCAAAGGAGGGTTGGGATTTTTTTTTCACTTCATTTTAAATCTTCACCAAAAAAAGTTAATTAAAGGACGCCCACAATGCTATCATGTTTCTGGTAAAAGCATGGAAATAATCATGTAGAATAAATGATGCAAACTTCTCTGTGTCTCAAGAATATGCAGTTATTCAAAGTAGTGGCATCATCATCTGGGGTGAGGGTGCGGCGAGAAGGGAGAGCCCCATTGATATTTTTGGAGATCATTCTGATCTCTATTAATTAGCCAACACACTCATGCTCCTTTACTTCTACAAAATCTTAAAAATTTCATTTCTCATACCAAGTGTTCCTTTCCGAATCACCCAGTATAAACAAACACACATACACAAAGTGACCAAAATTAATTCATAGGAACCTCCCAGATGGTTTGGAGCTAGGTAAATGATGCTAAGTGTCAATGCTCCCCCTTCATGACGAATACTTGTTTTTAGTAAAATCAAGTTTTAAATATATTTTATATCTAATAAATATTTTACATATTATCAGATGTATAAGTGCTTTTAATAAAGTTTGATGTAATATAAATTTTAATATATTTGTGTTAAATGTAAACCTATTATCCCACCCCATATAAGATATATGATTTTCAATATTAAATATAATGTAGATCTATCAATATAACCTCACCTCATATACAGAGTCACAGATCTTTGAAATCACAATTGAAAGGCAGTCATTGATTTCTGCTCTTGAGCCCTATCAACACTGCTTTAAACTTCCTAAGAAAGGAACAAAACTTTGTATCCAAAGACTCAAAACATACTCATTTTTAGCCCCCCAAAATCCCAATTCTGGAGACTATCCAAAGCAGGGAAGCATGAGAAGACACGGTTACAGCAGCATCCACGTCAGGTGGAATGATGAGAGAATGACCCCACGCAGAGCCTCACGCCACCCCCGGCACAGACCCCAGAAGCAGAGCTGCACTCAAGCGCCCTCTCCCACCGCACATTTCAGAGCAAAGACCTCTGCTTTCAACAGTCCGGTCCCAGGAAAACGGAGTGAAGCACACAGGCTGAGATTTTCATCCCAAACATACCCATTAGAGAGAGGCTTCATATTTGAAAATTGCCCAGTAATTAACTGTGTGTGTCCCTTTGCACTGGCAAGGTTAGTAGACAATGGAGTGAGGTTGGCGTTGGACCTGCGTTGACAAGGAACACTAAAACAATAGTCTGCGCATGCTCCTGATTAGGTCACACCTAACCCCGCAGGTGGTTTGAAGTATCAGGGACTATGGCAAGCCCTCTGGTGACCCCTACTGGCCGTGGCTGTAACGCCTAAACTTTCCGTAGGAGAGTTGTAAATGACGCATAATGAATTTTATGAAGATAAAGGGGAGATTGGAAGATTACTGCCCAATAATTATATGAAGTAGTACTCGCCTTTAATTGGATTATGAATCACCTATAGCAAGCGCGGGCTAACGCCCACACACCGATTAGGAGGTGGAACAAATATATGAAAACTAACCTCTGACCTGTGTACATATATTCACCAAGACTCAAAGAATTCTATCTGAAGCCAGCGTAAGTTTGCCCTGCTCCTACCCTGGTACTGATTATCCAAACCAACTCTGGAAGCTGGCTTCCCCCCACCACCCCCCATCTGTCATTTTGATATTTTTTACATCATTGCTTTATGGTACCGTGTGTTTTAACAGTGCTGGTTCCCACTTCAAATATGTGTTACCAGACAATCCCCACCAGACAATACTCATAATCCTCCATCATAGCCCTTAGGGCACCCTCTCACCCTCTTCTTCAATCACTCACCACAATCCTCCCCCATCTCAGTTCCGTTGTCAGAACTCACCGGTTTGTTTGGTTTTAGTTTTGTTCTGTCCTTTTGCACCATTTCTTTATCTTCCCCATATTTTAAGATATTTTTGCATTTTCGCAACATTCTTTAAATAAAGAAAAGATTGCGTTGTCATTCCTAGTGACAGAAAACATTCCTATTTCAGTAATTAAAATGTCTAAATTGGTGTCATACTCAAAATCCTGAATTCCACTGGAAGGTAATGTTGGTTCCTTTCCTCAGCAAAGTAGTAATCCAGGTAGAAAGATAGTAGCAGAAACAAAACTGGAGGGAGAAGCGGTCTCTATTTCCTTACTTTGCAGTTTTACAAGTCAGGTAAGACCTTCTCTGCCCTGATGATGCACCTTTCGGACCTACCTGTTTCTGAAGTCTCCAGGATAAGAAACAGCCATGGCACCTGTCACGGAAGCCGGTGCACGGTTAATTTAGCCCTTGAACCACCGCAGGTTCTTGTATCACGAAGCCATAAAAAGGAATTTGCAGACTCTCTAGATAAGCAAAGAGAAGCAAACTTTAGATAAGAAAGTAAAGAACAGTATATTTTAAAGGGAGGAAGCAAGGACTCCCCTGGCGGGGGCAAACACGCCTTCCTGGGTCAGTGTGTAGGAGTCTTCAAACCTTTTTTTTCTCTGTTCTAAGTCTCCCCATCCTCCTTTGTGATTGGCTCTTCCTCCCAGTGGCTGTCCTGCCCACAGATGTGTCCATTTTCCCAGCTTTAGAGTGTCTCCTTTGGCCTCCCCTGGCCTGGGTCTTGTTCTCTCAGGCATTGCTAGCCTTGTTCGTTTAGTCCTCCTGGACTTTCTGACCTCATCCCTGAGGTATGTTTTGCTTAGCACCTCTTAGAATTTACTGAACTTATCTCATAAACCTCTTTAACTCTCCCCAAGCCCCTGCCTGAACTGTCCCTGAGGCTACCGACTTAACCCTAACTTGCCCTAGGACTCATTAGGGAAGTTAAACTCAGGTAGAAAGTAATATTAACAAACACCTTGAGAATGTTCTGTGGGCTTCCTGGATCAAAGAGGTTCCGTGGTGATTTATTACAATAATTTCATTTCAGTCAGACTCTGATAAGCAAAGGCCCAAATGTAGCATTATATTATCTACTGACTGTGTTCTCTGGCATCACGAAACTGCTCAAACTCTGGTTCTACTTTTCATTTGCTACGTGACTCTGGGGAAAACTCAATGCTTTCACCCTCTGAATGAAAGGAGCAAGCTGGTTATAATGACTTACACCTTCCATGGATTTGTAAGGAGAGCAAACTGCCTTGTAGACATTGCAAACGCCAGCAAATGTCAAGGCAACGATGATTCATTCACATCTTCCAAACGTCGGAAGGCGGGACGCGTCCTAGCGAAAAGGCATGAGAATGATTTGCAGTGAACTCCGACTTTCTCAGCATGGTAGCCGGTGGAGAAAACTCCCCTAGAGCAGCCTCTTTTAGACAAAGATTCACAATGGAAGGGGGACCCCACAGGGTTAACTTGGCGCCAGCGCGAAGCGGAACCACGCCGCTCCGGAACCCCAGCTCCGAGGCTCGGTTCCTCCCACTTCCGCCGGGACTCTGTTCGGGCGGACTCGCGCCCGCACCGCTTCCGGCGCGGCTGTCAGCGGGCCGGGCGGCTCTCTATGAGGTTCATACCCGCACGGCGGGTCGCGCGGTACCATGTGGCGGCTGGTCACTCGCGCCAGCCTGCCGCTGCTGCGGGCCCCCCTGGCAGGTCAGAGTCCCCTGGTCCCGCCACACTCTCTCCCCGTGCGGCTGCCGCCCCAACCCGGGATCCTGCAGGCTCAGCCTCCGCCGGTGGGGGCTAGTTAGGGGCTGCGCTTCCGCCCCGGGGGTTCGTGCAGAGGGCCCCAGCGCGTGGGGTCTGCGCCCGAGGACCCGGCTGGCCCCTTGGGTGGGGGTGGGGCTGGGCGTGTGCGCCGGGTGGCATCCCCGTGGCCCCCGCGGCCTGGACGCCCTTGGCCGGGGGAACCCGGTGGGCCGCGTCCCTGCGCCTGTAACTGGCTTGGTTTTGCAGATGCGTGGGCCGCCCCGCCCGCCTGTGCCGGCCTCAAGACGCTGCTCCCGGTGCCGACTTTCGAAGGTGAGCGCTGGTCTGTCGTCTCACATTTGTCCGTCTTCTCTCTATTGAATCCTGCAGAGGGCTGGTGCTTCCCAGGCCCAGTGACTCTTTGGTAACTACAGGCCAAGCCTTGTCCACCACAGTGGCCAGAGGGGTCCAAACGAGGTTCCTGCGTTTGCAGAGCCCATGTGTGGGGGGGGCTAGCTACCCCATCCACGGCCTTCCAGCCGTGTGTGACCCTGGTTCCCCCTCAGCCAGGGGCGAACTGGCCCCAGACTTGGGCCTTGATGTTCTTCCCAATGGGGTTACAGCTACAGTCACTTCATGATATTATGAGAAAAGCATTATTTTGTTAAGAGTAGACATTTAAGGTAAGCCAGTATCCTGAGTCCAGTTTACCATTTCTTTTTAATATACTGGAAATACGAACTAAAACAAAAAGGGCCTGGACTTCCATGAGAACCCTTGTGTACCTTGAAAAAAAAGTGCCCTAGGTTGTAAGTTTCCTAGCAATACAGTGGCAAAGCAATTAGATATTTTTGTATACAGGATTTAGCATTCCAGCCACTAACCCCATTAGTAATGGAGGAGACACTGTGGTACTTTTCTTTTTTTTTTTTTAAGATTTATTTATTTGTGCATACAGAACTGGGGTACAGGTCATAGGCTCAGGGGCAGCGAGAGGATTCACCAGAGACAGAGAGGGGAGCAGAACAGGCAAATCAATTAAGTATACTGCTGAGGGGAGCAGTGGATGGGTCAGGAGAAGTCTGCCACGCCATGTGGTCACCTCCCGGGTAGGCGGGGATCAAACTCATGCAGAAGCGGCTTTAGCTTCTCAGTGCTGTGCTATAACCCGCTGCGCCACCAGGGAGGGCCGACAGTGTGGTACTTTTAAAAATAAAAAATGGTGCTGTACTGTCCAAATGCTTTTTCAACTGGATGGCATAGGCCAAGTTATTAACTGTCTCTCAACCTCAAGTAGAGATTAAATGACCTATCACACTACTTCTTGATAATTATGAGGGTGTATCTGAGTTCATATTTTGATAATTCACCTAGCTGTATAATTTTTATTTGGGCCCTTAACATATGTGTGTGTTTAGTAAACATTCCCTAGAGTTAGCTAGTGTTGCTCTGTGAGTCTCATTTCTCTACCTTCCCAAACAGTCCCTGCTGTAGTGTGGGGCCCAGAGTGGGCTTTTTGTGAATGCATTTTGATGTGAAGATTAAAACTTCTATTTTCAGTGGCTCAGAAACCTTTGAATTAATCATTTCCCATTGCCAAAGACTGTAATGTCAACAAGAGCCCCCACAAGGAAAACCTAATGTAATTTTGGGGTTACTGTCCAGTGATAACTTCGGCCTAAATTTTTAAAATTTCTAGCTCGCTATAAATGTTGAAGGAAACAAAACTCTGAGCTGTATAGTTTTACTTAATCTTGGTAGTCTCTGTTCTTTGTAGATGTTTCCATCCCTGAGAGACCCAAGCTTAAATTTGTGGAAAGAGTACCACTTGTGCCAAAAATAAGAAGAGAACATAAAAATCTGAGTGACATTCGGGGACCTTCCACTGAAGCTACTGAGTTCACAGAGGGCAACTTTGCGATCTTGGTGAGTTCACACTACAGAATGGAAAGCAGGGATTAGCAAAAGCTCATATTCTGACTTCTAGTCTCTGCCAGCATTTCAGTAGAACCATTGCTCTTTAAACAGATGTGCAGTACCCAGTAAACATTGAACATGTAAAAGCAGAAGGGAAAGGTGACCTGGTTTACCCGGCAATTAGGAGTTTCTCACCTCTCTGGGGACAGTGTAACCAGAATGTAGGTTGTGGGACACCTCTCACACTCAAGTGTCTCATCAGTGGCTGCACAGGCGTGGCCTGGGGTGTGTTCCCCATCAGCAGCCCGGGTGATGAACAGTCCCACGGCCCAGTGACCAGCCCGTTGGAGCGTCAGCGAGCTCCCGGTCCCTCGCCCCGCTCCAGCCGTGCCGGCACCTGCTCAGATGCACCCGCCGTTGCTGCATGTCTTCCCTGGGCTGGTTCTGACCGCTTTAACCTCGGCTTTAAATGCCAACTCACAGAGGCCTTCCCTGGCCACCCCTGAAGTGGGCCTGTCTTGTTCACTTATTGCTGTACCCCAAATTTATCCCACCGTGGTACTTCCTAGAGCCTCGTTTCTCATACTCGCAGGCACCATTCCAGCTGCCTGCCTGGCCCCGTGCTCCAACTCTCCCATTTACTTCTAGGCGCTGGGTGGCGGTTACCTGCACTGGGGCCATTTTGAAATGATGCGCCTGACCATCAACCGCTCCATGGACCCCAAGAGCATGTTTGCCCTGTGGCGCGTCCCAGCCCCTTTCAAGCCCATCACACGCAAGGGCATGGGGCAGCGCATGGGAGGCGGCAAAGGCGCCATCGACCACTACGTGACCCCCGTCAAGGCCGGCCGCCTCATTGTGGAGCTGGGCGGGCGCTGCGAGTTCGAAGAGGTGCGGGGCTTCCTCAGCCAGGTGGCGCACAAGCTGCCCTTCCGGGCCAAGGCCGTGAGTCGCAAGACCCTGGAGAAGATGCGGGACGACCAAGAGGAACGGGAGCGGAACAACCAGAACCCCTGGACCTTTGAGCGCATAGCCACTGCCAACATGCTGGGGATACGGAAGGTGCTCAGCCCCTACGACCTGACCCAGAAGGGGCGGTACTGGGGCAAGTTCTACCTGCCTGAGCGCGTGTAGGTGGGCACGGCGGGCGCGGGCCTCAGGGGGCCTGAGCCTCCCCTTAGTCCTCAGCGAACCCGGTGGCGTGTAAGCGGGACTCTGGGAAGCCGGACTCTCGGCTTCCTCTTAAAGTACATTCTATTTATACGTATTAAAGTCTGAGCACCCTTGGGGTGAGCTGCTCATTGGTCAGTCTTGATTAAGGTGGCACAGATTGAGAAACAGGCCTGAGGGCCTGGCCGGGGGCAGGCCCTCCTCCTCGGCTGCCCGCTGTCCTCAGGGCGGGAGCAGGTGACTGTCTCTCCGGCCTGCGACTTACCTGTGTCACCCTTTATACACTCACACGTCAGAAGCTAGTTCCTAAGACATTACTGTCTACCAGTACAAACTACACGTCTGGGGGAGAAGCAGAGACGAGACAGCAGTACACAGGCTCTGTGCGGCACCCACTCGCCTCGTTCTGGAAGGGGGTGCTGGACAGCGTAACGGGGAAGGTGCCCTGGCCTTGCAGCAGAAACTGTGTGGCCTTCCCAGGTCTGAGAATCCCCGGGAATGTGGCTGTGCCTCAGCTGCAGGGGGTGGGGGGGGGGCGGGCACGCCCCGGTGCCAGCTCCAGCAGGTGAACTGAGCCAGCCCCACACAGCGGTCGCCATTGAAGGAAACAGAAAGGGGTGTAAGCGCTAGACCACGTGCTCTCGAAGGTGGGTAGGAAACTGCACGCTGGCTGGAAAACGTCAGTCTTACCGCTTTTAAAACCGGTCTGTAGCCAAGGAAGTCATTCTCCTCCAGAAGTACAGATTTATCTGGCGCAGTTACGTGGCCCTCGGGAGCACAGGCTGTGGCTTTCCTACAGTATTTCCAGGTCTTGGAACTCCTCTCCGGGCCGCGCACGCACCGCACCTCAAGGAGGCAGTGTCGGCGCGGCCGGTGGACTCGCTGCTGGCCGAGGAGCCAGTCCAGGGCGATGGCGTGAGCCGGGTGAGAAGGGACGAGCAGCCGCGGCCTCGCTTCGCCTTTCCAACCTCATCATCTCTTCAGTAACACGTGGTAGGGGTGACGGCTGGGGGTTCGGTGACGTGTAAACCTGTCCCTTCTGGGGTCGTGTTGAACTCTGGACCACAACCCATGGGGACCGTGGACACAGCAGGAGGCTGCTGACAGGACTCCCGCGGCACCGCCTGCCCACGGAGGCTCGGACGCTACGCTGTGCCCTCAGGCGCCGGCTGTGTTTCTGCGGAAGTGGGTCACCCGTCCCCAGGCATTTACACCACCTCGGATCCCACCAGACTAGCGCCCAGGGGTGGGCTGAAGGGTTTAAGAGTCACATCCAAGGACTCGTCCATGAGCAGAATCGGCTGAATGACAGGCAGCCAGGCGATGCTTGTGCATCCAAGCGGTGCATCCAGCACCAGCTCTCGGCGCTTAGGTGTTCCGTGAGCAGGAGCTTCACGCTGAGGCCTTAGCCCCTGCAGAGGGAAGCAGCTGTAGGGCTGGCCAAGGGGACACCAGGAGAGCAGCAGTAACAGACACCCTGGTCTGATGGACCTGTGGCCCTGAGGCGTGGGCGAGCAGCCGCACCTGTCTCCACGGCCACAACCTGCCCCAGGCCGAAGTGTTACTCCCCAGCGGGTATGTCCTCTGCCCTGTGGTCCCTCCCTTCAGACCGCCTTCCAGCTCCACGGCACTGCTCTCCCCACTCACCCCCACCCTCCTTGCGGCCCGGCCTGGCGTCATGCAGGTGGCTGGTGGAGGCTCTGAGGTTGCGTAATGGGGAGAGGTAGGTGCTGAATCTACGGTGGAGAGTGGGGGCCCCAGAGGTGGTAGGATAAGACTGGCCCATCCGAGGTCCGTCTGAAGGCTGAAGTAAGTAACAGAGAAGGGGAAGAAACCACAGATGATACAGCAGGATGTCCCAGGCCAGGGTCAGCAAGTCTCCCGCAGGGCTAAGGGGCGGCTCGCAGGGCTGTGCTAGCAGGCCCTGACCCGGACGGAAGGCGGTCCATTCACTTCAGGTTTACCTCTGCACAGTTCTGACTGCTGCTAACACAAGAACTGACTGGCCAGGCCCTGTGCTGAGGTCTAGTTCTGCCGGAGGGAATTTCGTACTCTGCGTTCTACCAGCTTTCGGGACAGACCGCCACCCTGGCCCCATCTGCCTGCTGCTACCGACTCCCCTCGCCCAGTCGTCTCTCTGAAACATCTTCGTGGCTCCAGCCCGTCCCAGCACCAAGACGGTTCCATCCCACCCCGGAGACAGCTCACCTTTTTTCAGGCAAAGATGCCCCCGATCGTGGAAGCCAAGATGATGGCAAGGACGACACAGCAGATCATGATCATGATCTTCTTCTGCTCATCCAGACGAGGAGAGAAAAAACGCATGAGAACACTGTCACCGTGCAAAGGGAGTGGGAGGCGTGGGTGTGGGAGAGGATGTGGAGAAGGAGGGAGATGGATCTGGCTTTACAGCTCAGAGATGCGAAATCAGATCAACAATCATCCTGGGGACACACGTCCTGACGCCACATCCCTCAGACCCAGACACTTGACGAGCGAAGCAAATTCTTCCGCAGCAGCATCCAAATCCAGAGCCCAGATGCAGTCACACTGCTGCTCTGCACTGAACTGGTTTTCAAAAGCCCAAACTCAGCCCACCTGTGCAGCACAGGCTGAACAGAATCCAGCCCTGAGCCCAAACCGCTGTGTGGTGGCGTCCCATCACGGAGTGTGGGCGAGGAAACAAAGGCAGCCCTGTTCCACAATCAATACAAAGTCATTTATTGTTAAATTAGCAATAAAATAATCAAGTTTACATTAAAAAATACAAACAACAAAAACGCCTTCACTGAGTCCTAAGCCCCAGGCCTCAGCCCAGGAGAGCGGCAGCCTCAGTTGCAGCTTGCCAGCCCTCACTGCGAGCCAGCCGCTGCCGACATCACAGCCGCAGAGAGCACCAGGGCTCCGTCAGCCTTGGCGGGCAGGAGGGGCGGGAGCAAGAGCCTCTGCTGGAAGCCAGAAGCAGTGCTGCAGGAGGGTGCTCGCCTGCCCTAGAAAGCATGCAAGTGCAAGCTGCAGCAGCAACCAGGGAGACTCGCAGAGACTCCCAGGGAAGCGAAGAGGGTCACCCTGGGTCAGCGGTCACTACGTTTGAGACTTCCCCAGCTGTTGCTTCCTCCAGGACAAGCCCCGTCAGATAAAGAACCATCAGGCTTATTCGCCCGGAAGCAGGAAGCACTACAGGGCTGTTCCTGGAGGTCCCAGTGAGCTTCGCCCTGGGACAGCCCCACCCCCCCAGGAGCTCGTGAGGGATGCTCAGTCAGTGGGGTGATCTCTGGACAAGCCGCGCCTTGCAGCAGGAGGGGGGAGGTGGCAAGGCAATGTCTGTCGACTAAGCTTCTGCTTCAGCAGCACCACCTGGGTCCTCACCCTGGCGACCCGATTCTCCAGCACTCATCTAGAAGCCGGCATGTTCTCAAGGAAGTGGGAAGACACTTTTCTCCACAGATTCAAATGTCTCTAACTGAACTCGTAGCCTAGTTCAAGGGTCCTTCATGTGAGCGCGCTGAGCTTATAAGAGCCTGCGCTTGGTCCCCACTTCCTGAGAGACACGTGCCTCCACATACACACATCTCAAACACACGATACAGAAATGCGCGGGGCATACGTGACATAGGTGAGTGGACACTGGCCCAGCCTGACGTTCCCAGAACCTGAGACTTAACGCCTCGTCCCCGGTCCAGTTAAATGCCGGAGTTCAGGAAGCATCACTGACAGTGGACAGCCAGTGTCCTAGAAACACATGGAAACAGACCAGCCCCTCAACTCTGACCCCGAGCGACCGCATCGTCCTGGAGCCCCTGCCTGAGCGAGCATGAGAGAACACAACACAGACCGGGCCCGGTCACGGGCAGACGTCACTTAAGGCTGGATTTGCTTGAGTCACTCCCCAGGACGGGACACCCCCCACCAGCCCGGGGCATGCCAGGACAGGCTGCACGGGGGACGCTGGGCTGCCGGCCTTGGGTGGCCCCTGCTGTGTGAAAGACAGTCCCGAAACACTGCAGTTTCCGGGGGAAGGCTCCATGAGGTAGAAAAGCACCGGGGCGCCTCCCCGGGCTCTACAGGTGCACGGACCCTGGGGGCCGCGGGAGGGGCTGCATCCGGCTCGCCAGGTTCCTCCAGGGCTAGACTGGGTGCGGGGTAGGTCCGAGGGTGGTGACAATGAAGCCGGTGTGGGTCCCCCTGTGCAGGGGGGGTTCCGTTTCCACATGAAGACAAGGGAGGCCACACCAGGCTGGAGAGGAGTCAGGTTCTACGAGGCAGGGGAAGGAGAAGCGGGTCAGCGCCGGACACGGGTGTGAAACAAAACTAAGATGACCCACAAGCCGAGAAGGCGGCAAGGAAAGATCAGAACTAACTGCAAAAAGAAGAAAGGAAAAGTCAGCGCCACACCTGAGAAATCCAGCAGACACCCCAGACAAGCCCTGCAAGTTAGTACTGAACTCTACAGTTCTCCATGGTAGGCTCTTATGACGGGAAAGCGGAAACCTCTGGGCCTTTTACCCCTTCACACAGGGAAGACTGGGGGGTGGGAGGGTTGGTTATCATGGTCTGAAAACACCTGTTCTCTGCGGGGTCACACCACCCCCTCTGTACAAGCTCTAGAACCAGAAACTGCTCTACACCCCACTTTTATTTATTTTTTATGCATACAAAAACTGGCCAGAGGTGCGGGGTTGAGAGCATTCACCAAAGACAAGTGGGGAGCAGAACAGGCAGAGGGACTGACCGAAACACACTGCTGAGGGGAGCAGTGGGGAGACAGGAGAAGTCTGCTGCACCCGTGGGTCACTCCCTGGCCGGAGATCCAACTCAGGCCCCAGTGACTGGTGCTAGCCTGACAGCGCTGAGACCTTAACCCCTGCACCACTCGGAGGCCCCCACGTCCTTCAGAGGGCAGAAAGGCCCAGCACAGAATCACAGAGCAGCGTGGGGGTAGCTCACGGTGCTCCGCCTTACAGCTGCGCAGGCTTGGGAAAGTGTCTTAAGGTTGCTGAGCTTCAACATCTGAAGGTGATGATGCTGTTACTCTAGAACTTGGAGCTGCATCTGACATGGAACCTAACTCCCTGTCAGCCTCAAAGGCCTCACCTCTGAGGTGTGTGCCTAGCCCCTCAGGGGACTGTGAGCAAGGGCGGGGAATGGGGAAGGTGTTCAGTACATGGCCTCCCACCACCCAACACTCAAAACCATGAGCTCTAATGTCACTCCAGGGATCCTACAGCCAGCGTCTAGCAAAACCCTGCAACCCAAGTCCCAAGTCAAAGCTTCAGTACCATTGAAAAGGACCCAGAAAGCCAGTTAGGATGCAGAAGGCAAAGCCCAGATGCAAGACAGATCGCCCCCGCTCGGAAGCACGCTCACTAAACCCGGGCGCGCGCCGAGCCCGACGCCTCGGGAAGCGGGCGGAGCAGACTGCACGCAAGGCACCGGACAGGCCCACGGGGCGGACGAGCCCGTGACGGCACCCCGAACAGGCGGTCCAGGGGATAAGGCCTGCTCAGGCCCCTCCAGGCCAGTCGCAGAGAGGAAGCGCAGCCCCCGAGCTCCCCGGGGCTGACCCAGCGGCCCCAGCGCCTCGCGTTTACTTACACTTCAGTGCCTCCGCTCTCAGGCCACCCTCATTACCGCCCAACGGAAAGACCAATAGCCAAGGCCAAAATGCCCAACAACACAGCTACTATCACAAGGATGATTATCAATTTCTGGAGGGGGGATAAAAGAACAAACAAACAAACAAAACAAATGTTATCACAAACGACCCAAAAAAAACTATCATCGTCCAGCCAAAACCCAACCCCTGCCCGTCTACGCTGAAGTGTGGACCAAGTAAGAAGCCGCACAAAGCCCTCCCGCTAGGGGGCGCTGTATGCCCGCAGAGCCAGCTGTCTCAGCTGGGGGCCCGGGCGGAGCTGTGCAAACCGGCATAGGCGACCTGATGTCGACGCGCAGCCACAGCCCACAGGCCCACACATAAAGCGGCTGATTTCCCCTTTGCAAGCAGGAGTGAGTTTCAAAGTGCTGTCCTAGTTTCAAAGTTCTGTCCGTCGCTTGCCCAAAGCGCATTCCCACCTGTCAGCCACAGTGACGCTGTGGACCGGGCTGGAATCATCCAGTAAACTCACTTCCCCGTCCCCCATCCCTGCACAAGAAACAGATAAAGTCGGAAGAAAAGGAACTGAAGAAGGAGAACATCAGCGTCTGAGAAAGAGTCGGGCAGTAACAGTGGACAAAGCAGAAGAGCCGGAGGCCACCGTGCGGGGGCAGAGAAGCCAGAGTCCTCGCCCAGCAGGGACACGTGTGTGGAGGGGGTGGGGGTGGGGAGTGGAGGGCGGAGCGGATTGCTCCTATGCTCCCCAGTGCCTGGAGTCAGCTGCACAACCTGTGACCCGCTGCTGTCTCATCCATAAAGCAGAAACAGTGGGGTGATGTTTACACAGTGACCTGTGTACACAAACAGCGTTGGGGAGAGAAAAGGGGCGGGAGGAGCGGGGTCTGGGATCAGGGCTGAAGACAGAGCAGAGTGAGCCCTGTTCAGGGGCAGCTCACAGCGACGCCCACCATGCCCCATGCTCCAGAGCCGCCCGCAGGTGTGTTCTGGGGTGCAGAGCCGTCAGCCAGATCCATGCCCACAGGGGAGGAAAGGAGCTGGGCTCCGGGAGACAGACTCGGGGCTTTGGACGAGGCGGGACAGAGCGGGGGGGCGCAGGCCCTGGGCACAGTGTGGCGGGCGGGGAGCTGCAGGACACTGCCACGAGACACGGCGCTCACCCTCCGGGCTTCGCTCTGGTACTTGACGGCCTTTTTGGTGTCCGCCACGGCCCGCTCCACGAAGCCGGCGGACTGGTCCATGTTGCTCTCAATGCGGTCGACCATGGCTCCCTTTGCCCGCAGGCAGGGGGTGGCGGCAGCAGAGACACACAGGAGAGGGAAGAGCGAGAGAGCGAGAGACAGAGAACAGAACGGTCGCGCCAGGGGGCCTCACCTTCCGGGCCTGGCCCTGGTACTTCACGGCTTTCTTGGTCTCATCCCGCGCCTTCTCCACGTGGTCCACCGTGTGCATGACGTTCAACTCTATGTTGTCTAACATCTCCCCCTGCAAAGGAGAGTCACTGGTGACCTCAGAGACGCCCCGCTGTCCTGGCGATTGAGGAAGGGGGTCTCTGCTTGATCCTCGTGGGTGTCCGGGGAGCAGCAGGAAGCCTGCCTAGCAGGACGTTTCTCACACACCACCTCCCCCGGCTCCCGGTGCTGGGGTGTCGTCCCTCAAGAGAGGACAAGAGACCCAGGGGCTCACTCCTCTGTGACGGGTGCCCACCTGGACGCCCAGAACACACCAGTTTCTGGATGCCACACACAGGAAGGTTTTTGTTTTGGGCGGTATTTTTTTTTTTTTGATTCAGCATGGGACAAGAGGAACGGAAATGAAGCACAGCTGGTATTCTTCGCTGGCCCCAGGATGCCGGCCCCTTTCCGGCTGTCGCCTCAGACCTGATTTTCCCCCAAGGTTCTAGAACAGGGTCCGGCACTGAGCAGGTGCCTGGGGAGATTTTGCGGCTGGGACAGTCGCTTCCTCTAAGAGGCCTGGTAGTTTTCCTGAGCATTCTGGGCTCTTGATAAAGCTCCTGCCCTTTCGTGAGGAGCTGGGTGGCTCATCTGGGGTCCTGGGCATCACAGCAGGCGGTCCCCCCCGCCCCCACCCCCAGCCCCCACACCTCCACCCGCCCATGACTTTGTGGCACTGTGCGAGCAGCGGCACTTACCACCACGTGGGTCTCAAGCCGGCTCCTCGGCAAGGCAGTGTGGGGAGAGAAGGGAGAGTGGGGGTGGGGCAGAGGGCAGGCCTGCCCTGGGCTGGCAGCACCAGCAGGCGGGGCTCGGGCTGCAGAGGGGCTGGCTACCCTAGAGGAAGCCGGTGTCCAGCCCCCGCTAGGGCCGAGCCTCTGAACTTCAGGATAACCAGGGCACAGCCCAGACACTGGTGCAGCCAAAAACTAGCCAGCGCCATCACAGGACGCAGAGACTGAGCACCCTGAGCGAGAGTGCCCAGAGCTAAAGCTGTCACACTAAGCGCATGGGCGAGGCTTTCCCACTCCAGTCTGCTACACCTTCATTTTCATTTTGTTGTTTCTTAACAAAAGGTGCCAAAATTGGATGCGGGGGGGGGGGTGCTGTTTTGAGGCTTAAGCATTAAGAAGCCTTGTTCCTAATTTAAATCAATGACGGCGAGAGCGTTCCCGAGGCCCAAGGAGCCGGGCAGCGTCAGGGTAGCGACTCCCCTAACAACTACTGTAGGGCTCCCTGGGAGGCAGAGGTGCCAGGCAGGATGGCAGGGGCTTGTGGATGCTCCCAGCTCCGCCGCGCTCCGCTCCGGGTCACCGATTCCCTCCTTAACCACGAGGCCAACGCGGAGCTGCGCCCGCCCCGCTTGAAGGACACCAGCGCCCCCTCCTGGCCGTTCTCGGGAGAACCTGCGCACTGGCGCCGCCCTCCGCGGGGCTGCGGTCACCTGGCTCTCCACCAGCATGGCGATGTCCATGAACATGTCGTGCAGCTCCTTGATGCTGCTCTCCAGCTGCACGATGTCCTTGTGCCGGCCCTCGATCTCACTCAGGGCTTGCCTGGAAATCTGAGAGTCGATGATCTACAGTGGGAGACACAAGCACACCCTCGGCACTGAGCCCCACTGCGCAGCCGCCCTGCAGCCCCAGCCAACCCCCTGGCCCCAGCCCCCCTCCCCTGCCAGCGGCCCCTTCTCCACAGCTGGGGTGTGCACTGCCCCCTCAAGGTCCTCACCCCAGAAGTGAAAATGGTGGGGTTCCCACTCTCCAGCATCTCCTCCAGTTCCTCATCTGTCGTTTTCTTGCCAGCTTTATAACGAAAGTAGAGTGGGAAATATAAAATCAAAGCACATCGTGCTAAAAGTTCCCCGAGGGCCGACCCTGGTGGTGCAACTGGTTAAAGCATTATGAAACTCTCCAAAGCCACTGCAGTAGGAGTTGGATCCCCGCCTGCCCCGGAGGTGACCCACATGGCGCAGCAGACCTCTCCTGACCCGCCCGCTGCTCCCCTCAGCAGTGTATTTCAGTCAGTCTGCCTGCTCTGGCCTGTACCCCAGTTCTTGTATGCATAAATAAATCAATCTAAAAAAAAGTTCCCCGAAAACACGAAAGTCCACTGTGAATTCCAGGGCTTTAGCACACAATCGCCGAACCATAGAAACGAGGTGGCACAGCCCAGCACAGCCGGCGGGACGCTCAGCCTGTGTGGGCGTGGACACGCGTGGACGCCGGGCCCAGGACAGGAGGCGCCTGCAGGGCGGCGCCCTCTCCCCGGCCCACGGCTGGGCACGGACCCCGGCGGCGGGACACGTACTGATTTCCAGCTGCCTCTGGATGCGGCCCTTGCTGCGCTCCCGGAAGTCCACCTGCGCCTCGTTGTAGCGGGTCATCACCTCCACAAACTTGCGCGAGAGGACGGAGTGCTGCCAGGGGGTGGGAACGGCAGTGGTGAGGGGTAGGGGAGGCCCCGCGCCGCAGCCTGGTCTCCCAGCGCCCAGCTGGGCTGCGTAAGCTGCATCTCCCAGCAGGTGGAGTCTCACGCCAGGGGTGAGGTCATGGGGGGGGGGGTTAACGCCAGGGGGCGTCTCCCGCCAGGGTGGGTCTCATACCAGGTGGAATCTCACGCCAGGTGGAGTCTCACGCCATAGGTGAGGACATGCGGGGTGAGGGGGGGCTTTCACGCCAGGGAGCGTCTCCCGCCAGGGTGGGTCTCACGCCAGGTGGAGTCTCAAGCCAGGGGAGGTCACACGCCAGGGGAGGTCACACGCCAGGGGAGGTCACACGCCAGGGGAGGTCTCACCCAGGTGGATCTCACGCCAGGTGGATCTCACGCCAGGTGGAGTCTCAAGCCAGGGAAGGTCTCACACAAGGTGGGGGTCTCACACAAGGTGGGGGACTCCCTTCTCAGTCCGCTAACTGGCAACACCAGGGAGGTTCGCTGACCTCCCAAAACTGGTTTTCAGCGTGTTTACCTGCCCTGCGACTGGTAACTGCTGAAGCCAGAGGAGGTAAGCCTACGAGTCTCAGGGCTCCCCTAGCTCTTCCCACACCTGGGACCTGCCGGCCCCCCGGATCCTGAGCCAAGCCATTTCCCCACCCTTTCCTGCCTTATTGCCAGGTAGATCCAGCCAAAAGCCCCCGTGTCTGAGCTCAAATCTCATGAAAATGTTTATTCCTGCCCACGTCTCTGGGTGGGCTGCTGGTTTCTCCTTGGCAAAATCACCAGTATTTGCTTTTCACAAACCTGCTACCACCACTCAAAATCAGTGCAAGTTCTACAGACGTCAAACAGGAGTTCTGACAAGATTTTTAAATATATATTTTTTCCACATAAGAATAGTATTATGGGGTCCTCCCTGGTGGCGCAGCGGGTTAAAGCACAGCACTAAGAAGCTTAAGCCACTTCCGCAGGAGTTCGATTCCCGCCTGCCCCGGAGGAGATCCAC